TATTTCAAACAGAACTGGAACTTGAATAAAAGTGCAATGGAAAGGCTAAGAAGAAAGTGTCAATGGAAAAATTCTGTAGTTTGCAAAACAGCATCATTGCCAGACAGGAGGATATGGGAGAAGGACACCTGCACATCTGAAAGCAGGTGCTCATGAATTTGTACATTGCAGAAAGGGCACTAATAGTTCTACTGAAGTATTCCAGGGCTCTCACCATAACATGTGGAAGTGCAGAATCTGGGATGGACAATGAGAAAACCATGCTCCTTTTAATCTAATGTGCATCTTTGGGAGGACTAGAACTCAGGACTCTTGCAAAAGTCAATAAAAGGGTAAAATGAAAATGACTTGAGGAACTATGCAGACAATGAACTGATGGGTGTGTTTGTTTATGTCAACAACCCCAGGAACAGCAGGGCTAAGGTACAGGGAGGATTCTGGTGTCCCAAAAGGCTTATAATGAAGGCAAAACCAGGTTCAGAGATCAGGCAGCAACTGACAACTGTACCATAGTATACCCTCTCTTCTGCTGATGCTTGGAGACATTCCTTCAGCTTGCTCTCAGACAGAGCAGCTAGGGTTAAAATGTAATTGAAATGCTGAGGTATGAGGTGCCTCCTACACACAGTGCCCTCTTATCAAATAAGTGCAGAGAGTACATTTCAAATTTGACACCTCCCTCCCTCTGCTCATTCCTGAGCCAACCACAGAAGTGAGCTGGCTGTGATCTCCCAATGACTGTCCCAATTCAAAGAGCTCACAGGGCAACAGATCCAGATTTGCCAGCCACACAGAGATCACACAAAGCCTGGTTCTGAATGAAATGAGAGCCCTGTGGACCATCTAATGTTCCATTGCTGGCCTGCAGGTCAGAGCATGCCTGCATCCCTATGGGCCCTGAGGCCTGCAGGTCAGAAGCATGCCTGCATCCCTATGGGCCCTGAGGCCCCAGGCCCTTAGTTATATACACATTCCATGTAGTCAGTACCAAGAAGACAGACTGCCAAGACTCATTTTGGCTCTTGAACCTTTGGAGGCCAAGATGACATCTCAGCTTCCCTTGCTTTGCCTTCTCCTGGGCAGGAAATTAAATGTCCTTCTGGCAGGATCTATAGAAGCAGCTAGAGCAAACAGAACTCCTGTAAACAGGAACTTTTAAAAATTACCTGTTCCGGTAAAGCACATAAAAATGGATCCTTAAATATATTCATCTTCAACAAATATGTAGAAAAGTATTTAATTTCTCCATTGCATACATTATTCAAAAACTTATTCCTGGTAATAACAGTGACCACCTGCTCACACAGATGCTCACAAGGCTGGGGATACCACAACTTCTCAGGACACTCAGCCAATCTGATCTGATAGCACCAGACCATCCTGGTCAGTTTCTGTTAAGCAACCCTTGAGCCTCAGCCTCCACTGAGGGATAGGGGTGGAGGTGATCCTAGAAGTTGATCCAGGAGCATACATGGGTCTAGACCCTCGGAGATGGAAAAGTCATTGGAGACCATCAAGGAAGCCATACCCCACTTCAGTGTTCCGGGAGACAGACACTTAGGGAGAAGTGACTTTCCACAAGCATCAAGGCACAGCAGGGACTGAGACCCTGGGGACCTTCCAAGGGCTTACTCCTTCACAGTCCACAAATCCATAGATCATGACCTCTTTTATCCATTTCCCACCCACCTGCATGTCTTGTGTTTGGGACAGTGACTGGTCAGAATCTTCCTAAGAATCTTGAGCAGCCCAGACACATCTGCTCAGGGCTGCTTTTACGAGGTGTGTGGTCAGGGCCTTCCTTCTTCCACAGTGCCGTTCGCAATCTCAGCTCTGCTGGCTTGCAGCAGCTCAGCTTCCAGCTACAGGAGGAAAAGCAACAACTCTCCCAAGGGAAGCCATAACACCATCGCAGATTCACCACAAATGCAGACATTTACCCCTACACCCACCTGCAGTGTCTGATCTAAAGTGATATTTCATGTACTAAGTTATACAAAGTAAAGAAGGGGGCTCTTTTTTTTTGGTCTTTTTGAGACAGGGTCTCCCTGTAGCCCCAGCTGGCCTGGAACTATGTAGACCAGGCTGGTCTTGAACCCACAGAGATCCACTTGCCTCTGCCTCCCAAGTGCTGGGATTAAAGGTGTGCGCCACCATACCCGGTCAAGAATGGGGCTTTTTAAAAAAGCAAAAACGTTTCAAGATTTTTTCCATGTCCCGGGTTTGAGAAGAAGTGACAAAATGGGCAGTGGGTAGTAATTCAGCTTTCTTTTGAATGAAACCTGATTTCCTTCCCAAATTTTCTGAGACTAGTTTTAGTTTGTTTGTTTGTTTAAAATAAAAAATAGGGGCTGGAAAGATGGCTCAGTGGTTAAGAGCACTGGCTGTTCTTCCAGAAGATCTGGGTTTGAATCTCAGCACCCACATGGTGGTTAACAACCCTTCATAATTCCAGTTCCAGGAGATCCGATGCCCTCTTCTGACCTCTGCAGGCATTGAACAACATGGGTACACTTACATATATGCAGGCAATACATTCATACACATAAAATAAAAAAAAATTTAAATGGTTTAAAATAAAAAATAAAAACCCTAGCTTTTAAAAAGCATTGTACCAAGGAAGAGACGTCAACATTAAAAAGTTGTTACTGAAGCCTGGTGTGGCAGCCACACCTGCTATCCCCAAGAGGCTAGTCTAAGGTACATAGTTAAGACTCGGCCTTAGGACAGGAGGATTGATTGCAAATAAGAGGCTAGCCTAAAGTACACAGTTAAGACTCAGTCTCAAAAAGCAAAAAGTATCACTGGGGGTGGGGAGAGCTGGGGATTGGGCACTAGGCCACATCTGAAAAGGAGGGCTACATAGGGAAGAAGGAAGCCCAACACTCAGAACAGTACGTTTCCTCCTTTTCCCAGAGTGAACACAGTGAGTGACTATCACTCAGTTGCATAACAGATACACAAATGGGGAGGTTGAATGGGAAAGATGTGCTCAGCTGAGCGGCCTCTGGTATCTCACCACTAAAACATGCCACTTCAGATTGGGTAAAAATCCACTACTCTCCATGGTAGGCCCTATCTGCAAGGGTCATTTCGCTACACCTGTGGGGCCCCCTGAACACACAGCAGACTTTTGCCCACCCAAGTCTGACATCCTTCCAATTCACATAAAATCTTCATCCAGAGTCATTCAAGGAGAAATGAACAAGCCAGAAAGTCCTCAAGGAGATTGATCCAACTTGCAGACACCCAGAGGCTTGGGAGGAGCTACTGCTGGCTTTGGAAGGTGAGTGGGTAGATAGAACCCAGATAGTGGAGGGAAGGAGAGCCACGGAAGGTGCAAATATCTTCATATGAAAGATAATGTTTCCCCCTGGGAAGCATTTCACTCTGCAAAAGGTGCCAACTAAAACATCATTTTATTTTTACAGTATTAAAAAATAAGTCTTTGATATATAAAAACTGGCCAGAAATTTTTTTTTCACTTGTTACATAAGAACGTCATCTTAAATGTCCAGTCTATCATGGGACATTTGTCTCAGGGGCAGGAGTTAGGGTTAGGGTCCTGAGTGTGAGGGTAGAGGTGCTGGGGCTGGGCACAATGGTTAGTGCTCTCAAACCCAATTTTGCAGCAGAAGTTTGCATAGCAGGCTGCAGACCACAGACCTCCAGATTGTACCTTTAGTGACTTGACCGTTAGCAGGTGGTACCAGTGGGTTGCTTGGTGTGTAACAAGACATTAAGGATTGGCCTCATGTCCTCACCCCAGCAGTCAGTGGGGCCATCAGAATCCATGAATGCAGTGACACAGATAGGCCCGATTATTTCCGAAGGGGGTGGAGGATCCTCCCAAGCGTGCCCTGTCCTGAATCCTTCAATTTGAAGGAGGCCCTTTCCGTAGCCCCTCTGCCCTTCAGCGGGGCCTCCATGTTGGCAATGGAACCCTCAGCAGAATCGGGACACTTCTTGGGGGCTCGGGCGCTGCTGGCCCGCTTCAGGGTGCCACTGTCCTTGGAGGTAGCATCCTCAGGGCTACCCTTGACCCTGAGGTGCTTCTGGGAGACTGTCCTGGTGATGCCAGGGGTTCTGGCCACAGGCAGAGCATCTGTTCGCATGCACCGAGATGAGGAGGCCACTGTGTTTCGGGCAAAGCTTGGGATAGGGAGTGGAACTCGAGGGGTGCTGGGGGCCCGCAGGGCTTTAGGCTCTTCCTCCGGGCTCTCGGAGTCCTGGGAAGTGGAGGGGCAGACCTTGTTTTCCTCGGGCTTCTGTTTGGGGATGTTTCTGAGAGGCTTGGCGCTGGGTTTCCTGAGCGAAGGCCTAAGCTGCAGTGGAGGCTCCTTCCCCGACCGCCCACTGACACTTCCACTCCCGCGGGGCAGCCTGGGTTCCTCAGTCACAGGTCCACCCACATGGGGCCTCTTGGGTGATGTGTCCAAGGTCCCCCGCACCGAGCTCCTTCGTGACAGGGGTGTGTCTGTACTGCCCGGGGTCTCCCGAGGGAAACCCCTGGATGGTGGCTCTGGCCTCTTCCAGCCTCCTGCCCCCCTACTGGACTTAGAGATGGGTACCACCTTGCGCATGTGCTGATTCTCTGACGAGGTCAAGGTCCGCACTGGTTTGGGTGCTGCCCCGTGGCTGCGCCGGACACTGATGGGCTTTGAGGCCCCCAGAGACGCCTCTTTGAGGGAGTTTCTTTTCGGTGCCACAGCGTCCTTCCCTCTGCTGGCTCTGTCCCTAGGAAGGCCACCCTGGCAGCTGAATTCACTCTTCCCTAATGGGGGAGCAGGCATCTCCCCAGGGGGGCTGGAAGCAGGGTTGGAGGAGACCTGGCTGCCACCTGCCTCTCCAGTCCCAGAGGACATTGATTCATCCCCTTCCCTCTCTATCTCTCGCTCTTCCCTTCCAGGTCTGGAGTCAGTTCCTTCTGAGCAGTCCAGAGTCAGTGAGCAGTCAGTGGTATCTGAGACATAAAACAGAGGCCCAGCATCCTTGTTTTCAATGTCAGTGACACCCAAAGACAGTAGAGCCCTGCTGCTGGGATCATCAGGAGCAGCCCCGTCTCCCTCCCCTGCAGGGCTGAGACCCTCCTGAGGACTTGTGCTCACAGGTGTTAGGCTGTCACTGCCAGTACCAAAGGATAAGGGGCCCTTATCCCCTGGAGACTGCAGCTCTGTGGGGCAGAAGTCATTCAGGGTCTGCTGGGATGCCTCCTCCATGCCCTTTGGACTCTGAAGGTCAAACTGGGCCAGCCCTGTCACCAATTCATGTTCCCTAATGCCCAGAGTCAATGGTGAGAGTGGCACATTGGGCATGGGACCCAAGCCCACAGGTTCACTGTTCCTCTTTCGGAGGATGCTCATTGCTCCCCGACCAGTCCGAGGCAAGATGGAAGCGGGTTCCTCCAGGGTGGGTTTTGGAAGCTGGCTCTGCCAAGCAGGGTGAGGGGCTTTCTCCCCATTCTTTGAAGCCTGTGGTTCATGTGCAAAGTTGTGGTCATGATCCCTTTGTTCTCCAGGCTCCATCCAGGCAATGGTGGGCCGGGGCTGCCGGGGGCTGCTCCGAGGCAAGCTGTTGAACTTGTTGGTATCCTCAGGACTGCTGGTGGTACTCTCCAAGAAGGTCAGTAGCTCCCGGTCAGCAGAGATGCCCAGGGAGAGGCGGGAGCGACGGGTGTTGGGAGGCCGGTAGGAGGGACTGGTGGGCCTGGGGTGCAGGAAAGAGGGCAGGTCTTCTGTGCCCTTCTTGGCCAGCAGCTCTACGTCATTCTCACTGCTGCTCCTGCCAAAGCCCCCCAGCTCCCCAGCCGCCCAGGAACGCCGCTTCTCCTCCAGCTCCTTCAGCCGCTGCAGTTGCCTCAGCTCATGTACCTCCCGGTCATGGTTGTCCTAATGGAGAGTGGAGAGAAGCCAGCATGAGACATGGAGGGCCCATGTGCAATTCCAGGGCCACCTACCGTGAGAGTTAATGATAGGTGCTAGTGTGGACAGCTCTATATCCTGTCCCATACAGAGGGACTGCATTTTCCTGCACTTGTGCATGTGTATAGGGAGGAGAGGTATCCCAAAGCAACTTAGGGATGTGACTAAAGGGCACACTAGGCCTGACTCCAACAATCTGTCTGCAGTTCTCATCTGATCCCTCAGCCCAACTTCTAGCTTCCAGTGTGGGCCGATTCCACGTACATGCAGTCTCAACTCCAATGAAAGCAACAAACAATGGTAGAGAAGAAAGTACTACAGATGCTAAAAGAGTACATCCCAAATTGTACATTTGCTGAATGGACACACACACACACACACACACACACTCATATGCAGTACATTCATATGCAACACATTGTACTTAATGACTTGAGTACACAATGTACCCCCAAAGACACTAAGAGATGACTTTAACTGTGTTCTCTGACTCTTCTCTGGTCAAAAATGAACGCCACCAATGCTCTGGTGGCTCTGTCTGCTGCTACAAAGGAGAAGACTCTGCCCCGCATGCCCAGGCCTGTTCCTATGGTCAAAGAAGAAGAAGAGGCCAGGTGTGGTAGCGCACGCCTTTGATCCTATCACTTAGGAGGGAGGCAGGCACAGGTGAATCTCTGTGAGATCAAGGCCAGCCTGATATACCTGGCAAGTCCCAGGCCAGCTGGGGCTATAGGAAGACTTAAAAAAAAAAAAAAAAAAAAAAAAAAAAAAAGAGGACGAGCAACAGCGTGCTTTACAATCCTTCAACCTTCTATCTGCTAGAGAGCAACAGCCTTCCCAATGACACAGAATCCAAACATGCACACAAAGCACACTTCACCTGCCTGTGTGATTTCATATGCTGTCACCCCTCAGTATATGTAGGGGATTTGTTCCTAGCTCTTTCTTAGATTCTAAAATCTGAGGATCCTCAATCCCTTGTTCAAAATGGCATAGAATTTTCATATAGCCTTATGTATCCTTTAAATCATCTCTAAATTTCTTATAATTAATGCAATGAAAGAGCCAGGGATGTATTGTTTAGGGAACGACAAAAAATATCTGTATATATTCAGCATACATACAATTCTTAAAAACTACTTTTAATTTGTGGCTAGTTGAATCTGCAGGATTCTGTGGATATGGAGAGATGACTGAACTTGTGTTGTAATTATAAGTTTCTTTGGGTTGTGAGACCCATGTAATCATGTAGTTACATGGATGCCTCAACCCAAATCTGTTATTGTTAGCAATTTTTATTTGAGAATCAATTTCCTCCTCCAATGAGCTTTCCTTTCCAAGTTTCTGTGAGGCTCTGCTTGGGGAGTCTTGGCTCCTCCTGCAACTCTAGCTTCCCCAGGGACCCCCAAGATTCTCAGGTCTTCTCCTTTTAAGCCTACGCATGGTGGCGGTGGCCTGGCTCTCATGAGAACTGGGTTGAGAGCATCCCACAGGTGGCCTCCCAGGCCTGCAGCATCCAGATGGGGAGTGAGGGCCTCAGAGAGAGCTAGTTTGGCCTCTGCTAGTCTCTGCGGTCTCCCACAGCTGAGCTCACTGCTTGGACAGAGGAATGTTAATGTGGCTGCAGGCTCAGCTTCCTCCTCTTAGAAGGAGAAAGGAGTGGTTGGGAACTCAAAGGAATTTTGGGCTTGGAAGAAATGTAACCAATCCTTCCATGAAACCCAGCTATGGACAAGTCTGCATTCAAAACAGCAAGAATGAAAGCCTTTGAGTTCAGTCTCACACCAAAAATAAGTAAGTAGGCAAACAAGCACAGGAGGCAGAGGCAGGCGGATCTCTGTGAGTTCAAGGCCAAGCTGGTCTACAAAGTGAGTTCCAGGACAGCTGGGGCTACAGGGAGACCCTGTCTCAAAAAGGCCCCCCAAAAAAAGAAAAAAAAAATACAGTCGACAGCCAGGTATGGTGGTACATTCCTTTAGTCCCAGCATTTGGGAGACAGAGGCAGGTGAATCCCTGTGAGATCGAGGAAGGGTTTCAGGTCAGCCGAGGCTGTAGGGAGACCCTATCTCAAAAAACAAACAAAAAATCCAAACAAACACAGTCAACAAATGAAGCGGGAGCATATGGTTCCTCACTGTCACCTGAAAGGATAAGGTGCTACTTTATTTTTAGTTGACAGATAAAGCTTTGCTAAGCCCAGCAACCCAGAAAGGTCTCTGGCTTTGGAATTCAACTCAAGAGATAACTGCAATGGATGGCTGAGGGGTCAGAAAGCATGACCGCTGTACCGAGTATGGCAACAGGCTCCTCAGCATGAGGGAATCATGAGGCCACACTGAGCAAGGACAACACAGTCCCCAAACTGCTGATGCCACAGCATTGTGTGGCACTAGAAACAGGTGAAGAGTAAGGCCCCTTTTCAAGAAGATTACAGCCTCCATAGAGGCTGACATTCCCTCTGGGGGAGGGGCTGAGCAAAAAGTTCAAATATGCAGGAGACTTCAAAGTCTCATCATAAGCCATGTCTGCTAGCAAAATGCTTCTAGAGTATTCTGTGTATTTCATGAGCAGCAAAGGCCAGAGGCTACCACCTCCCATTCATCCCTGCAGAGAGTCTCGTGTGCCACCAGATGCTCCTGAAACCCAAATCTGATGACCATCTTTCCGCTACGGGCAGAGGACTGGGTCCACAAGCAGAAAAATGAAAATCCCAGGGACAGACAACAGGGTGGTGCCTCCAGCCATACCTTAACTGCTTTGTTGAATCTGGTACAGAAGTCTCTAAATATCTGAAAGCATTCATCCAGTTTCATGGTTTCTTTGTCTTCACAGAAAAAATCTATAAGGGTGTGGGCCTCGCCCTGCAGCTCCTGTTTCCAGAGCTTCAGCTCCGCCAGCTTTTCCACAGCAAACTACAGAAAAACAAACAGGGACACGTGGTAAACAGGGTCAGCTGAGGTGGCATGGCACTTTGGCTACTGCCCAGGGAAGACACGTTGCCAGGGTTCGATTTCAGGTCTCTGGAAAGGGAAGGTTTATGGAAAGGCTCCTGTACTCAGAGCTGAAAGGAAAATGAGTCAACCCAAACCAAACCTCAGCAAAACAAGGTGACCCCCTGCCACAAAATGAACTGAAGAAGTAAGGAGTTGTGGGGACACTTGTAATCCCAGCACTTAGAAGGTGGAGGCAGAAGAGTCAGGAGTTCAAAGCCATCTGGGTTACATATCAAGACCCTATTGATACATAAATAAAAAATAAATGGATGAATAGATGGACAGACAGATGGACAGACAGATAAATTTAAACACTTTAACGTTCCAAACATCACTAACGAAACATTCACCTTTAAGGCCACTAGAAAAATTCTCATGGAATACAACTGGTTTCATTAAGAAATTCTCCTGCTATATATGTTTTTTTTTCTCTCTCTCTTAAAGCAGGTTTTTCCAGCAGTCAGTAGTTTACTGTAGGGTCCAAGAAGTTAACTTACCCTGACAAACTGCCTGTAATCCTGTTAAGAGGGGTCTATACTTAATCCCGAATAGACTCTATCTAGTCACTGTCCCTATTCACCACAACGGGAGTCTGGGGTGCTGCCTGAGTTCACTGGGAAGCTCTGGGAATAGCCCATGCTTGTACCCCACATGTAATTAGCAGTTCTGGGGTATATCAGAATGCCTCAAGAGATTCAAGTGGGTCCCATTCCAATTCCTACTTTACTGCTTAATTTTCCCTAGTTCCTCTGGGATATGTCAGTCTGCAAGGCCTCCACACAGCCCAGTGCCCTCTCAATGAAGTGGTGGGGATGACAGAAGGTTGTTTGTCCCCAGTAAGTTCCCAAGCCATCTAGAATGGGATCTGAGAAATCACAGGAAGAGTTTCCTGACATGGGTTAGCAATGATCTCTGAGCTATAATGAGGAGGCGATGTGGGACAGGAAGGACTCTCTCACAGCCCCTGAGGAGGCTGAATATTTGAATCACACTGAAGTCTTTCACTGCTGTCAAGACTAGGGAATAAGGCTAATACAAAGAAGGAACGCAGGAAGCGTACCTCTTCATGAAGTCACATGTATGTTTGTATTTTAAGAAGGCTTACATTTGAACAAGTTCTTTGAGAGTGAGGGGCTGAGTCTAAGGTGTGGGAAAGTAACAGACTGCCCACCTTGGAGGAGGGAACTGCTGCCTGTGCACACTTGGCCAACTATAGATCCTAAAGAGAAATTCCTTTCAGCTTCACCACTTTCCAACCACTTTCCCCCTGAAAAGGCCTTTGCTTAAAACAAATACATTACAGAGGTAGTAGGAAACCAAAATTATTCAGGAACGTGAATACCTGGGAGAACAACCATCTGAGTCAGTAGCCCAAGGCAGTGAGTGTCTTCTCGCGGTATTTTGCTTTATGGACAGAAGGGTATTCAACAGAAGAATAAATCTTTGCTTGACATTCTGCAGGGCAAAAGATGGAGCCTGACCAAGAACAGCTCAGTTCAGGAAAGCAAGGCTCCTGAGGAGAATCTGCACAAGGACACACAGCTCTACTGTCTATCCCTTATCTGTGGACCTGTAGAGATGGATGGAACACCAGGAAGGAAAAGCTAACAGAAACCAAGTTGGCCCTTAGCACCTGGGACGATGAAACACTCTGAACTCAGACCTGAAAAACAACCACGGCAGAGTGGTAGAGTTTTATAATTCCATAGCATCCAGCACAAAAACAAGGCTGGGCTGCCAAGGAGCATGACAAGATTACAGCTGCGGTATGAGCTACAGCTGTCATCCAGCTTGCCTGACGTGGACCAAAGCCCGAGGCCACTAGGCCTCACCCACATGTGGGTCAAAGTAACGAAATAAAGCTGCAAAAGGTATTTCTGTCCTCTTTCTGTTCAAAAACCTTGCATGGGGCTGTTAGTACAGTTCAACAGAAGTACTTGCCTAGCTTGTATGAGGTCCTAGGTTCCAATCGCATTACAGAAACAAACAAACACAGCCACCAAACAAAGGAAAAATCTACAAGCCTTGAACAGCTAGGTTAGGTCAGTGTTGCTCATAGCAAGAGGTGTCACATTTTAGACTGGTATTCAGAGCCCTGGAGCCTGATCCTAACCTACTTTCAGAAACTTTATCTCACTATTTAAGAAGTTAAATTTGCCAGACATAATGGAGCATGCCTTCAATCCCAGCACTGGGAGGCAGAGGCAGGAGGACCTCTGTGAGATCAAGGCCAGCCTATTATACATAGCAAGTTCCAGGTCAGCTGGGGCTACCAGGAGACCCTGTCTCAAAAAGAAAAAAACAAAAAAAAAACAAGCAAACAACAACAACCAACCAACCAACCAACAAAAGGACTGCTAGGGTGGGGCTATAGCTTAGAGGTATAGTCCTGGTCTCCTGTACTGTAGGTTCCATCCTCAACAATGTCAAAACATACAAACACACATTACTAAGAGAAACGCTTAAAGAGCTAAAAACAAGTGTGCCTTGGAAAAGCAGTAGAGAAGTGAGCAGAAGGCAATCCAGTCTTCATCATAAACCTTATCTATTGAGGTTTTGGTATAAGATTGAGGGTTGAGGTAAACGGAGGTCAGTTGCAGAGTGTGTGTGTTTAGCGTGTACAAAGTCATGGGTTCATCCTCAGCACTACTCAAACAAAAAGATTTAGTATAACAAATGAATACTTAAAAAGTTGGGAGAAGGAAACAGGCAGAACTTCAGCCTTGATGTGTGATGCTTCTTATTCCTGGATTTCAGAATTTTGTTTTATGCACCTGACCATGCTCACTCCTGTTCTGTGTTTCCGTGGTGATGATAAGTACATTGCTGTCACACTGTGAGAGGGAGTAGAGCCCTTGACTAGCATGCATGAGGCCCTGGGTTCCATACCCTCCAAAAAGAAGAGTGCACTTGAAAGGAGAAATGAAGAATTAAGTATACTTGAAAACAAATATAACACATGTTAAACAACAAACTCAAAGCTGAGCCAGATAACACCAAGGTTTTGCTGATAGGAACTAAACTTCATATTATCTCCAACTAGCCCTACTAGGGAGTGAAGGCCTTAATACTTCGGCGTCATGAAGAGCTGTTCCTGCCCAGTGCCATGGGTAGCCCTGCCATACCCCAGGGGTCTCAGCACCAACTACACTCTCTCACATTAGACTGGAAACAGGGGGTGGATGGTGCCACCTTTTTTTAAATAAGGAAGATAAAAGAAGTACGTCAGACTGTGATTAGTGAGTCACGGTGAGCTGTCACAAACATGTCCACTGTGCTGTTTTTTTTGTTGATGTTATTCAGAGTGGCTCCTGACACGCCCTGTGGGCTGATGTATTTGGATGCTGATGGGCACTGTAGCCCTGTGTGTTCTACTGTTCTCGACAGAAATCAGGTCTTCTATGGAAACAAGCGAAGGTGGATCAGCCTAAATCTTCCAGTGGCAGGATGAGGTCTGTGGAACTCTCTCTTGCTGTCGAAAAGTAGGAAGGCTAAGAACTAAACCTCAAGTTGCCAGGCAGACTCCAAGGGCAAGTGCCCTGAGCTGCACTTCACTTCAGGAAAGTGTGACCACACAGCAGAGCAGGTCAGCAGAATTCCTGTCTCTAAGCAAATCCTGTGTAGATCACCATCACCATCTTCTGCAAAAAGGACTGTGCAACACAAAGGTACTCGAACTAACTTGGGAGAAAAGTTTCACTGGACACCTGCTGCCTCCACAACTGGGCCTGGGAAAATAGGCAGGCCTGTTGAGGCTGCTGGATGATAAGAAGGACTGACCTGAAGGAAATCTTCCATCTGCTGACACAGCTCCTGGTCCCGCTGGATGTTTTCCTGCAGTGATTTTGTCCTGACAAACAGTGAGTGCAACTCTGCCTCTGTGTTATCCAGAGATAATCTGAAGAAGGAAAAAAGAGTGGGCAGCTGGCACCAAGACACCCCGTGTCATGTGGCTATGTCAAACAAGACCCCTCTTTGGCTGATCCTGGAGCAGAAGGGGAACCACTATGATCACATTTATGCACTCCTGTTTATATGAGTTGTCACCTGTTTTTTTAAACATGCACTGATTCAAGCAGAGCAGGCCGCCACAGTGTTCTTGCAAGTGAGATAACGCAAACAGGCCTGAGGAAGTTTTCCATATACAAGGTCTGAGCCTTTATGCAACATGCATCAGAACTAAACTTCAGCAAGACTCTGGGGGTTGATGCCTTCCTTGAGTTAGGAAGCTCTAACTCACACGGGTTGGCAAGGCAATAGAGCTAACATTTCTTGATACTCAGGGCCTCACTGGCTTCCTCTTGTATGACACAAGCAGCCAAAAGCAAGCTCTCTGTATACTCTGCCAGTAGCTCTGTAGATAAATGGCTGGATTGATTGCAATGCTTTTGTACATCCAATCAAAACTAGCAGGATGGGTTTTGTCACTCAGTGAAATGAACCAGTGAAACTGAAAATCCAGGAGAACTTTGTAAGTTCAGATGCATTCATGCTTCCATTGTCAATTCTAGTTTCTGTTTGTGCAAAAAAGTGTTTTACCTTTATGAGTCAATGGAGCCCACCTGAGGTCTAATTTTATTTCACTTGTGTATTTCATTCAATTTCAGATAAACAAACCTTACTGCAGGGCAGTTTCTTAAGACAATAACATTTAACCAAAGTTATCCACTGATGACCAGAAATGCCAAGTCAAAAATGTAATGGTAGTTTTTCCTTATATATCTCTTAGTAATATTTCTATAGTATTAGTAGTTGAAGTAAAAATAGTCCATTATGAATTTCTTTTAGGAATTCAAAAGCAAAACAGTTTATGTCTTATGAGGTGTCTGTTCTTTCTTGGAGCACAATCTGGAAACTTGTAAACATGAATTATATAGTGTTTAATCTGTACACTGATAATCCTCCTGTCAGAAAGACATATAATCTGTGGCTAGATGTCAATAACAGTCAGATAATATCCAATGACAGGGTTATTCACTGTGGCTTATTTGCTTATATGCAGAGGGCTCATGGCTGCCATAGCTGGCTACAGTCACTCACATAGTAAGTATATGATACAGCCAGCCCTGGTGGCACACACTTGTAGCACTAGCTACTCAAGAAGCTGCAGCAAGAGGATCTTTTCAGTCCAGGGATTCCAGACCAGCCTCGGCAACACAGTAAGACCCATTTTTTAAAAATGTGATATTAATCTGGTTGATACAAGCAGCAGTGAGCTGAGCCAGATCATCAGGGGCAACTGTGGCTCTTTCTTCCCAACTCTGCATCAAACAGTCCCATGTTAGCAGTCAGAAATCGTCGGGGGTAGCCTTATTTATGGCATGGACATCATCAATGAATGTGAAAAAAAAAATCAAGACATTTTTCTTGAAAAACTATTTGCAGTATTTACTATATGTTGCATGGACATGTGATTATAAGTTGAAAAACACAGAATTGAAACAGCACACACAGCTACATGAAAACATGCACATATACTAGATTTAGAAGCAAATTAGAGTGATGTAATTAGAGCTTTATGCTTGGTAGATACTTTCCCTATAAAGCTGAGTGACTAATTTAAAAATCAAGTCTTTTCATGGGCCTTGGTATGCTTCCAAACTCTTTTAATGCAATAGAAAATAAATGTACCATGCTTCATCCCACAAAGAAATGGTGATGTATAGCCCTGAACGTTTGATTGATATAAACCAACTCCCAAAGTAATAAGCTGTGCTGCTTCGATCTTTGGGGTGTGGGAGGGATCTGAAGCTGTTAATCCCTGTTTTTTAATACTGAGTGGTATTCATCAGAATAGACTAATTTTGAACTTTCAGTTCAAAAATAATGATGAATTTTTCAAATTTTTCAAATTCCCAAGGTGTATACACACTTGTGTCGAGCAAATGAAAAGAAGGCCTGAACATTCAACAAGAGGAAAACTTTTTAGAGTTCTGACTTGAATCCAAGAGCTTTAACTACTCAGCCATTTTCACGGGAAGATAGTTAGAGAGGCTGAGGTTTCAAGATGCACTTTCCAGCTTCTGTGCTCACCTCGCTGTCTCCTGCACGTGATGCAACTTTTCAGAAAAGTTCAGGAGGATGGCATCTTGTTTCTGGGCTTCCTGAAACAAAAATAGAATTTTCTCTTATTGGATGGATAAAACTAGAAGGAAATCGTTCCTTTAGGGCTTAAAGGAGCCTTAAAAATATTGCCTGTTTTTCAACTTATTATACTCAAAGCAATTCCCTGAGACACAAGCTCTGATATTCTTAGTAAGATTTACCAGAACTTCCCTACTCTCCAGACACGTTTAACTTCCCAGAGCAAATGATCACCACATGAAATTCAACTCAGGAGCATTGAAGCTCAGTGGAATGAGGGAGTGGCTTAGCTCACCCATTGTTTCCAAGAGAACCCAATATACCCTGCCTGAATACCACCCATCCCTGCAAGTGTGCCCTTAGATGAATGAGTGAGATGCCTTCAGCTGTTAAACCAGTTTGCACACTGACTTTAATCAGAGGCACACAAGCCTACAAGGTAGCTGGATTCTTTAGCTATGTGGAAGCTGACAGAAGAATAGATGGGAGGGAACCTTTACTGACCAAGGGCCTTTACCTTTACCTTCCCACAGGGCCAGGGTCCCAAGCCACCTAGAGCCAATGCACACATGGATCAGAAAGTGCTCCTTCAGAAAGTGTCTCAGGCTAGATAAGGAAACACTTTCTTATTTTTAATGCCTTGAGCACTTATTTTCAACCAAGTACTTGAGGTCTGGGGGTTGCCAGGGAGTTGGTGGTGACTCAGTGGTAGAATGCTTGCCTAGCATGGTAATGGCCTGGGTTCCACCCCCAGATTCCAAAGAAACCATTGATAGAGCCAGACTCCAAATCCCACAACAGCAGAAGGCACTCCGATGCACAGTTCCCAAAGAAACTGTCACCATTCTGGCCCATCTCACATCAAAAAGTTTCAATTCCTAAGTCTTCTACTCTCTGTCCTTATAGTGGTCACCTGTCCAGCTTGCACCAAATGGACAGATGCCACCAAGATGTCCCCTCAGTCCAGCTCTGCCTCTCCTCTGCCCAGCCTTCATCATGCCTTATTTTCCTAAACAAAAAAAAACCTTCTCATGCCATTATGCCATGCACAAACTTCTCTGGCTTCCCACAGCTAAAGCATGAAATCGAAATCGACACTTCTGACATTTGTCCCTCCCTACCGGGACAGGTTTCCCCAGCTTCCCTGTCTCCTTCACCCACTCCCCTCCAGAGGATGAAACTGGGGATCTGCAAAGCTTCTGCAAACAGAAGCTTCTTGGAACCCACCTTGTCCTTTCCTAAACCAGATGCCATCTCATGTCTGGGAAAGACTGCACTGTCTCCAGTGGAGACTCACATACATTCACCCTCTCTCTGTTAACTGTGTCTTCCTACCTGGGCTACAAAATGCAGAAGGTTCATCCCAGGTTTGTTTGCTTTTGTGTCTGCCAATTTGAGCAAAGAAGACAGTTTAAATCCTACTGCATTCCCAGCATACCCTCCCTAAAGAAGACAAGAAGAAAAATGCATTAAGCCTTTATATAGACAATGAAGAGGCAGATATGCTTTTAAACTGCTTTGGGATCTTACTTACTGCATTCATGATGTTCCCAGCCTGGAGCACCAAGTGTAATATTGAATGTAGCTCCTCACATGCCATCAGCTCTGTCAAAAGGAACACACCACTATGCCTTAGAGAAGCCTCCTGCCTCACAAGCAGAGAAGTTAGCTACTACATCCAAGTTCAAGTGGGTCTGAAGTAATCTCTGGCCCTAAACTTTAGAAGCAGACTAAAGAAACAAAGAAGTACATTTTACATATACCAAATACACTTTCTGCTGATAGGCAGTCAGTGCCTCAGTGTTTACCTGGGGATCAAATAGGGAGGGTGGTTAAATATCAAAAAAGTTCACTAACAACAATTTTTAAGTACTGGAAAACCCAAAAACCTGAGAAAAAAGACAGTACAAGGTGCTGTGGAAACTGACTTCTCCTTGGCAGTTAGTTCTTTAACATTCCCTTTATAGACCATGAAAATCAACAAGCAACATTTTGCTTAGCTAATGAGTTATGAAAAGGTAACAAATAAACAGGCTGAGATGGCATGTAAATAACTTGCAAACCTCCAACCCTCAGGTCCCCAGAACACAGGGCATCTTTCCATTTTATTCAAAACTACACATTTCATTTGTATTGGCTGAAGGCTATAAAAATGAACTTACTGTGATATATGGTAAGTTCTTTATTAACACAAAATTTCTTGTGCATTTCCATAAAGAAACACAGTTAAAATTTTTAAGATACTTGCAAAGCTAAGAAGAATACTTGATTATTTAAATTACAGTAGGGATAATTAAATGCAGCCTATGATATTTTAGGTTAATATTGTCCAGTACGTTTGGTATTACTTTCAAAACATTGCCTTTGGATCAGTGCCTGTATTTTGTTATCTAACAAGGCCAGTTTGGGAAGGTTACTCAGATAAGAACCGTTTCCTCCATGCCCACAAATTTATATTGCTCAATATGAAAACAAGTTCTCTCATCGCCATTTGAACAGGAAAACAATCCTTCTACAGCTGCCACAGTAGCCTTGGAATGGGAAGAATTAAGAGGCCTCCCTCCATATTGGGAGAAGAAAAGTTCATTTTCACCCTCAGTGTCTGTTCAGATGTGAAGAAAATGTGGTGGGCTGAAGGGAAACTTGTCTCTCACCACAGGCTAGAGTAACTAAACACGAAAATCAAATAGGAATAGACAGTTCTATAACAATAGCTAGAAAGTGACTGGAGAAAACCACGCTGACACTGGTGATGCTGTAGAGCTGAGGGTTGGAGGGTGGGACCTGCCTGGGCCTAAAGAGGGGAGCCTGAGGCAGATGCATGACTGCCGTCTGCCTTCTTTGGATCCAAAAAACATCAGGAACAAAGAACCCCCAGCCCCAGGGAATGAGCCATGACCACAACTCTGAGAGGAGGCTGCTGGCCAGTGGCTCAGTGTTGTTTTAAGAAGTGAAAATGACCAACTGTGCCCCTCCCAAAGTTAAATGGCCCTGTGGATACTGGCGCGGAGAGGAGAGCACACACTTAGAGGAGAAACCACAGAATGGATGCCTCAGGACCCTGGCAGGAGAGTTACACTGTTGAGGCCTGGAGACGAGGTCTGCTTTTAGAAGGTCAGTCCCAACCAATAGAGACCAGAGAAGGGAAGGCATACAGATGTCCCAGGGGGCAGGCTTTGTGCATACACATACCACACACAAAATACACCATGCCACACTGACCCTCATCAGTCCTCCTCATACTACATACCAAATGCCACAGACACACACCACACATGGCATAAACCCACTATACAGCATGTACAATACACACTATATACCATAGTAGCCACACACTACACCACCACACATATACAATATACCATACAAAATATACACCATACACACTGTATACAATATCACACACCACATAAATTATATACCATTTACCACACATACCACATTCCATAGCATGCGTGTGCACACAGACACACACAGACACACACACACTACATAATGTACAGACCACACCACACCCATACACACAACACACAAAGTTAACCAAGCTGAGGAGCAAGATCAAGCCGAGACCTGCAAGGTTTACTCTGAAGCCGGAGATGAAGGAAACTTTATTCATGGAAAGAAAATATGCAAACTAATGTTCATTATTTTAAATGCATCCCTACAAACATCTCATTTCCCTCTTTAGGCTATCTAAAAATGGGACTTTCCATTTCTAATTTCACCTGAAACTTTTTAAGATAAACTGCTACCAAAAGTGGCAAAAACAGATTCTTTGGAGGACTGTGTATTCAGTTACCTTTTGCAGCAGTTCTTAAAATCGTTATGTCTGTGTATAGAGAAGAGCATGAAGGTAAAAATTCCTTCTTTAGCACCATGGCTTCAATCCGAAGTGAATAGCTAAAAATAAATAAACGGATAAAATTAAAAAGCAAAACCATAGCATCAATGTTAGCTTAAAAACCTCACGCCACAAAGAATCAATCAGGGACTGGGATCCTTACTTTGGCACCTGAATTAAGCAGTGCAGAAAGGAATCTGCCAGGGAGAGTTTGGACACATCACCACTAAACGTTTTTAACTTCTTTACCTAGAAGACAGAAAAAAAGGAGAAGAAGGAGGAAAAAGAATCATTAAAATTTAAGATTACCTTAAATTTCATCTTACTATGCTAAAAAAATAAAATTTCAGTGCTAAATACAAATTAACAAAAGTGTAGAGCTAAGAAAAAGACAGAAAAGGAAATCCACACCTACAACTTGGCTTTGGAAGTATGTATTTATTTATTTTACATGTATGTGTGTATTGCCTGCATGTAGGTAAGCACACCCGTGTCATGCAGTGCCTGTGGAGGTCAGAAGAGGCTGTCAGATCCCCTGGGACTGAGTTACAGACAGTTGTTAGCTGCCATGTGGGTGCTGGGATTCAAACCTGGGTCTTCTGCAAGAACAACCAGTGTTCTTAGCCACTGAGCCATCTCTCCAGCCCCCTACAACTTTGTTTTAGTTTTTTGTAGTGCTGCTGATAAACCCAGGGCCCTGAGTGTGCCAGTCAAGCACTCCACCACAGAGTTCCAGCCCCAACTCCACGGCTCTGTCACTATGACCCTTGTTGACAGAGAACCAGCTGGAGCGCTTGGCAGGACAGAGGAGACTTTCTAAATTTTAAAGAGACACTGATGCCCCTCCAAGCGGAGAGAATGTGAATGGCCAGCAAGGACAAAGACGATGGAGACAACCTGGGGCCCAGGTCCTTTCCCCTCAGGAAAACACAGGTTAAACTGTCTCCAGCTTAAGCTATCTTCTAGCCCTTGCTTCATGGTTTTCTATAAAGTCCAAGACAGCCACAAGCACAAGAAGGTAGGGTGAGATAAAAATCAGGTTTCTTCTCTCTCCAGTTTGGCCAAACTGTTATCCTTTACCAATTTCCGTTTCCTAATATCCTTTGGAACAAGGCAGCAAGTTATGGGCCGCCTTGCTTTTTTTTTTTTTTCTTCCATACAGGGTTCTGGGTTTTTAGCCCAGGCTGGCTTCAAACTTGTGATTTTCCTGCCCCAGCCTCCCAAATGCTTGGATCATGAGACCTGGCTACTACTTTGGTTTTTGTTTTGTTTTATTTTGAGTCAGGGTCTTACTATGTAGCCCCATCTGACTTGGAACTCACTATATAAACCTGGCTGGTGTGGAACTCACAGAGATCCACCTACCTCTGCCTCCTGAGTCCTGGGATTAAAGGCATGCACCACCAAGCCTGGCTACTACTTTGTGTTTGAAAAGAAAAATTAAACTCTCAGATTTGAAAGAGAAAAGCCAATGTATATAGAGACATACAGCTCACAGCATATGAGAGAGTTGGAGTCACCAGAATTGTTAGAATGTTATTCAAGGGACACAGGTAGAAAGGATCAGTTCCAAGTATAGAAGTTGTCTGATAAGTAGTAACTCAGGAGCAAGATCACTGGAGAAGCAAGATGTGTCTGGACAGTCATTACAACATGGTCCTTTGTGTTGTAAATGGAAAAAAGTATTACTTGAGGTATTTTGGCTGTAAAATATTTAGACTAGATGAAGTTGAACACAGATCTCCTTTTTGCGATCCAGTTTCACTTCACATGTTATAACTTAGATGAAGAGACAAATGTATTTTTTTTTAGTGGGGCTAGAGCCCAGGGCTTGGGCATGGGAAACAATTGCTCTAGTACTGACTCATATCCCCAGCTTGGACTGTAGTATCCTGAGGTGAGCACAGTCTGGCTCTTCAGCAGGTAGTAAAAAGGGACAAAACAAAACAAAACAAAACAAAACAAAACAAAACAAAACAATTTTTTCAAGTAAAAAACTGATATCGTCTCCAACCTGCAGGCCTCTCTCTGGGGTAAGTCCATCATGCCCTCTTTACCCTTGACTCCCCCAGCCTCATTCACCCTCCCATCTCCGCCCCCTGTCTCTCCTCCTAGCCTGGGTCCTGTCCCATTCCTTGTCTTGCCCCCCAGACACCTGGGGAACCACCACTGCTTTCTGATCCTTTGCATCTAGACGAACCCAGTTCCTTCTCGGGTCCCCAGAGGCGCTCTGGGCCTGGGCCCACCCTCACCTCCCTCTACTTCCCTGGTCTGCAGTACCTGCCAGCCTCTTTCCTGCATCCCGGGGCTGACCTTTCCTCTTCCTGATCCTTTGCATCCAGACCAACCCAGCTCTCAGTGCAGTTCTCAGGAGCCCTTGGGGCCACTTCCCACCCCCATCTTCCTTTGCTTCTCTGGGTGGCACAGCCACCAGCTGCCCTAGACCAGCATCTTTCCTGGGCCCAGTTCCCAGGCCAGTC